GCTGGCAAAATCCAGGGAGGGAGGGATAAGGAGAGCAGACTAGCTGGGAGGCATGTGGTACCCAGGCTTTACTAGGCAAAGGGAATGGCCCCTTGACAGCAGCAGGACTAATGCCCACAGCACTGTGAGGTTACTAATATGAATGGCATCTGAGAGGTTGTTTTAACAAGGGAATTTGGGCCGCATGGACAGATTGACATGGCATAAAAAAACAACTATTAAAACTTCTCAGCTCTTTTTCAGCGCCAAGAAATGTACACATACTCACCTATCCCTGCTCCTTCTCCCATCCCTCAGCTTCCCCCACCCCTGGGCTTCAGGGCAAGCTGCTCAAAGTGCAGCGGGAGAGAGGCTAAAGCGAAGGGATGTCCATTGCATGTGATACTGAATAAACAGTAGTAACTGTTTAAAGTGTTTTCACATTTGGGCCCCTCAAAACCTAATAATGAATCTTCTAAAATGGCTAACATTCATTCTGTCATGTTTATTTGCTGTAGAAAGTAATTAAACATCAGACCAGAGCTAAGGGTTATCCATGCTTTATGTCTTTTATGCCTCACCACAGTCAGATGAGAAGCACTATTACAGAAGTCAGTGAACAACTGAGGAAGTTGTGCACAGCTAAATAGTTGCACAATATCACAGCGCTGGTAAATATAGGCCTGGCTTTGTACCCGCGGCACCCAGACACACAATGTGCCATCATCAGCATTACATCATGCTGATTCAACATGCCTTCCAGTCAAACTGTTGGCTAAATTGTTGTGAAAAGGCTAGGTCAGATCAACAGTGTCAAAATATACGTAGCATGGCCATGAACACTGCCTTGGTCTGGTCTGACAGAGGAGACAGGAAAATCAAAATCCGTGGATTGAAGGCCTCAGGTGGGCCCAATGGCAGGGAGCAGCTGAGGAAGGCAGGTGTTGACAAAAAGGACTGAAAAACCATAAGACAGGATTCAACAGCCTAGTTCAGTGGTTCTCAACCTTGGCTGCACATTAGAATCACCTGGGAGAACCACTGGCCTAGTTGGAAGGCCATTGCAATTCTCCAGGTGAGACTTATGAAACCAGAATGCGGATGGTAGCCACACAATAAAAGGCACAGCCTCTTGTATAAGACACAAGGGTATTGAGGATGGGGAATATACCTTTAAATGTTGTGGTATGCCCAATTTTGCTGAGCTCAATGCTTTGCACAAAGGAGGGCCTCAAATAAGTGCATGATTGACAATGAAAAAATGGATTCAAACCAAGTTCTGTACAATGGTCTAGAAAATGCAGGCATTAAATTTAATCCTCAATGTAACTGTAATATAGTGACGTTTACAAGTAAAGGGTAACACATTCTAACTTAAAGAGTTTTAAACAACTTGTCAAAGTCAAGCAATTAGCTTACAAGCAGAGAGGGAGCAAAGGTTGGTCTCATGCTCAGATCCAGTAGTTGTTGATGCATTAAAAAGTCCCCTTGAGAACGATAATGTGTTATCATTCTCTTCTCTCCAGATGTAACTAAAGTGAAGTACTCTAAATAATCCAATAACTCACAGTTTGTTTTGAAATGGATCTTATTCACTAGAGATTTCATTCTTAGAAAAATTCCCCCAGAAGGCCAGGGAGGGTTGGGGGGCAGGAGGGAGGGGGGTAAGAGATCAACCGAAGGACTTGTATGCATGCATATAAGCATAACCAATGGACATAAGACACTGGGGGTTAGGGGAGGCCAAGGGAGGCCAGGGGATTGTCAAGGGCGGGGGGGGGGGAGGACACATATGTAATACCCTTTGTAATACTTTTAGCAATAAAAATAAATAAAGAAAGAAAGAAAGAAAGAAAGAAAGAAAGAAAGAAAGAAAGAAAGAAAGAAAAGAAAAATTCCCCCAAAAGCCTATGATGAGATTTCTTAAGTATATCATTTCCTGTTGGGGAGGAGGAGTCTATATTTCTACACCATTATTTTTTAATATTATAAAGCCTTTGGGTAGAAGGGAAGATTAGCTCTTTGCCATGATGATGTTTACAAATGTAGTTTTCACATATCAAAATCTGCTGCATCACTTGCAACATTAGTCGCATTGATGTTTGGTTGGTTAAAAGTTTACTGGGATTTCTTCTGCCAGAAACATTTTCTGTATTTTGGTAACACTCTCCCATGAGGCCTCATGTATTCCCATGAAGTTTAAAAGACAGCATTATTTTTATTTGGAGAAAGGAAAGTGGAAAAGAAATAACCCTTTAAGCTTTGGAATTGATGTTCAGTCTATAAAACGTCTTCAATTAAGCTGAGGGGTGATTGGATTCTAGTTCTGGGCTCATTTTAAAATATGTCATTTGGGGCAAATCTTTCCAGTTCTGGGTATCTCAACTTATCCAGTCATGAAGATGAAGTGCTAAGATCTAATTCACCCTCCTTTATGGGGGATGCAAACATCAGGGACTTTTAGGAGCTTTCTAACTTAAAGTGACCCCTCTACCCCTATCATAACATAACATAGAGCTGTCTCTTCAAAAGATGATTTCAATAAAAACAACAATTCACTCTTTAACAAATAAGATTTCTGAAACTTGCTGTATGACTTTAACATCATAACTCATGTTGGTATGTAACTCCTTAGAAGGGCCAAGGAGGAATGATAGTTGTGGTCAAGTCTTGTGATTTCTGCAGGGAGAGGCTCTGGTCTGGAGTGCATTTCTCGTCCCTTATTTTGCAGAGGGGGAGTGGGTGGGTGGGAAATAGACAGACAGACAGACAGACTAAGTTACAAGTTGTGTCTGCCTTTAGGACTTTAACAGTAAAGACAGAAACAAAAACAGGCAGTGTTTTTGTTGTTGTTGTTGTTTCTCATATATTTGTATTGATTTCAGAGAGGATGGGAGAGGGAGTGAGAGAGAGAAACATCAATGATCTGAGAGAATCTTTGATCAGCTGCCTCCTGCATGCCCCTCACAGGATCTAGCCCGCAAGCCAGGCATATGCCCTTGACCAGAATCAAACCCTACCAAGCTGGCTAGGGCAACAGGCGGTGTTTTAAGATACCAGCAGCCAGGAGTTGGGAAAATGGGAAGAGAAGAGGCAGAAGGAAGGGAGTTTAGAAACACTGCACTTATGGAGAGAACTGGGAACCCATTATCCAGGGGGTGGTAGAGTCGCCCCTCACCCAGCAGCCTGCATCTCCAGTCCTGGTGCTCCAGGCGGGTAAGCGGGCGGTTCCCTGCAAAGGGCCCAACAGCCCCGGGTGGGGATGCGGCCGGCCCGGGCGCGCAGTCCCTTACCTTTCCCTCCTCGCTTCGGGAGCAGCGCGTGTCCCAGGAAGGGGTAGGCACCCGAAACGCTGGGGATGGGCCTCATTTGCAGCCAGTTATACGCGTAGCTCGCCATCATCTGCAGGAAGCTCAGGGTGAGGGTGGCGCCCGCCAGGGAGACAGCGCTGAGCGCGCAGAGCAGCAGCTTCTGCCCGACGTGCACCAGCCAGACGGCCACCATCGCGCCAGTGGTCGGCTCTGCTTGGGGACTGAGACCCAGAACCTTGGGGCCCGGTGCTTGGCGCCAGGGCGGGGTCCAGCCCCTGCCTTTCAAGTGCAGGGGGCCTGGGAGGAGTCACGACATTCCCGGGGGCGGGCGCAGCGGGCTGGGAGGGCGGGGGAAGAGGTGGCGCCCGGCCCAATCGCCTCTCCCTCCTCCCACAACCCGTAGGCACCAGCCCAGGCGCCCAGAAGCGGGCCTTCCCGTGCAGGGACCGCCCTGCCCCCTCGGGACTGGGTTGGAGCCTCCCGGGCTCGGAGGAAAGCACCGCCGGGTTGTTGTGCAGACAAACGCCTAGTAACGCGCAAGGGCCTCTGTTTGGTTCAGCAGAAACGAAAGCCCGGAAGGCGGATTCTGAAGGCAGAGAGTGCTGAGAAGACACGGAGGCCCTTGAGTGGCGTGGGGAGGAGAATGGGGTGCAATTAGGGGCAACTTCAGGATGGAGAGGCGCACTGGGGCTGGGGTGGGCTGACTTCTGTTAGGGGAGTGAGCGGTACGTTTTAAAATGGAAATTTAGAATGGAAATAACGGGGCGCCGGGTTGGAAGTTCGGTTTGGGGTTAGTTTTTCCCTGGCTGGGCGCCTGGCCTCATGATGCTCCCTTGCGCAACCAGGAGTGTCTTCTATTCTCAGGGGACTGGCTGCGCGCGGGAGGTGGGTTGCATCCTGGCTGCGCATCAGGATCATTCAGAGCAGCTCCCTACTCTGACCTGGGACTCCAACCTGAGGGAGCAGGTAAAGTTCGTCATCAGGTCACGGGAGAGCTGAATCATGTTCTTGTGATCCCAATGGTTTCCCAATTATCCTCGGGACCAAGAGAACATCGGGCGGGTGGAGAGGATGAAGGGCAAGGTCTCTGGAAGTGGGAGAGATAAGAGATGCTGGCAGAGCGGGGGTTGGATAAAGGAACAGTAATTATGAAGTAACTCTCAAAAGACAAACCACTGAGCCTATGGAAGGAAGGAAGGGAAAGGGAATGATGGTGAGAAGGATGCCCCAATTCTGCCCATGGCTGTGTTCACTGACTAGGAATTTTCCTTCTTCAGGTAGCGGGACCCCAATCCTGACTCTGGTTCTCTTTTCTACAGGTGATCCTCCCTACAGAGGCGCTGGGCTAGGAGTGTCCCTCTGTAGGAGCAGGTCCATAGTGATCGGGAAGGTGCCAAGGAAGATGACCTATATTGAGAAATGCCCTGGATCCTACTTTGCTCAATTCCCTGCGTTTTACTGGCAGCTCTTGTACCGGTTGCAGGGCCTCTTCTGGGCAGAGGGAAACATGCTTAAGGCTTTTCTCCAACTGATTTTTTTTTTCCAAGTCATCCATCTGTCCTGACATGGAAAAGGTTTAGGAAATAGTAAGTGAGCCCTAACAGGTTTGGCTCAGTGGATAGAGCATCAGCCTGCGGTTAAAGGGTCCCAGGTTCGATTCCAGTCAAAGGCATGTACCTTGGTTGCAGGCACATCCCCAGTAGGGGGTGTGCAGGAGGAAGCTGATTGATGTTTCTCTCTCATTGATGTTTCTAACTCTCGATCCCTCTCCCTTCCATTCTGTAAAAAATAAATAAAATATATTTTAAAAAAGGAAAGAGTAAATTAAAGATAAACTTTTAAAGTTGCAGAATAGAGTACATAATGTAATGCCATCTTTGGGGGAAAATAAAGTTTAGTTCTCTGCAGCTAGACTAATGTCTGGGAGGAAAAACACTGGTCAACCTTATGAGATGTCCATGGAGAAGAACTTACATTCTTTATTTTATGTACTTTGATATTATTTCATCTGCTTAATATATTTTCTTTAATATCTCTAAGTAGATCTCATCTCTCTAAAAGTCTATCACAGCTATGAAACTATGAGAGTTGTCTATATCTGACTCTCTGCTCATCTCTGTGGACAAAACAAGGAATATATAACCAGGACCCTCAAAAGTGGAGAAGGGGGAAGGGCGAGTGCTTCAGGCAGCAGCCAACATGAGCAGGAAGTGCTCCAAAGCAGAGAAGGGTATGATGGGTTCAAGAAAGTGTGCAGGGGACCCCTGCTTGGAGCACAGGGTGGCTCAGGGTGACCAGGACAAGACAATGTTAATGTTCACAAGGAGCATGGACCAGCTTGAATGGACCTTGACTCCCAGGCTTAGAAATTGTATATTTATTTTGAAGGCAGTTTGTGGGTGAGAAAGAGAGCACCAAGGATTTTGTGAATCAGGTTAGTGGGGCTCCATCCTGCGAAGCTGGTCAGCTCTAAGAGCCCAGAAAAAATCAGATAATTAGCAGTTTAAACACTGAAAGTGCATATTCTAGAAATGATTCTACTTGCATTGAGAGTAACCTAATATATTGAGGATTTAATTATTCTATGAAAGAAACAACAATCTTTAGGACACAGGTTTGCAATCCTGAATGGTACTCTATGAAAATAGTCCAATGTTCTGACCTCATACCCCTCTAAGGCTACCTGATTAGTTGCTAGGGAAGAGGAACAATGAAAATATGAGAAACATGGAAGGTTCTGGTGTCCTTGCATCACGACAAAGTTAGCCCAGCTTCCCTGCTCTGACCCTGAGACTTCTGCCTCTAGTTTCCCTCACTGCTCTCGGGTGTTTCCTTCATTTTGACTCTTCACTGTGTGCTGGTGTGTTGCACGCTGACAACTGTGTGCTCTTCCCTCTTCCAACATCCTCCAAGGCCCCTAGCCTTATCAGCCTCACCTCTCATCTCTCTTAAGCACATGAGTGTTCTTTCCCCCAGTTAGTGCTGAGTGGGGTGGCTGCTATCTGCTGTGCTTGTGTCCTGGGGCCCTCACCTGACACCTAGTGTGATAGGAAGCAGATTATTCCTCGCTGTGGGGAGAGAACATCCCTTCTCTTCCATCTCAGTGCTGAGTTCACCCTTGAAGTAGAAAAGTGCCCAGGACATGCTTGGTTGTGGGAGTTGGATTCAGAATAGGGATCCTGACAGAATGTAGATGTCATAGGTAGAAGATTGGTTAGGTCTCTACAAGGAAATACAAAACTTGGCATTGCCAATGGAAATTAACTGTGGCTCAGAATCCTGTTTGGTAACTAGCCACAAGACTAAAGTATATACTCATGAATGTCAGTTAATTTATCCATTTCCTTTCCCTGCCCCAAATCAGAAAATGTATCTCCTGAATATTAATGGATAAGCCCTGTCAATATCTTATTTTGTAATCTCGCTCATAACTGACCCAACACTTCTGTGGATCATCACACTCACACACTCTGTCTTTCACATAGAATTCCTCAGATTTCGCAAAACGAAATGTATTCCCCTTAATAAGAAGCTGTTACCTCTCACATCTGCCTTGGGGTTTGTATGGAATGGATCTGATTATAGTTCGGGTTCTGAAACATTGTAGTTGTTAAATCTCTTGGTCCACTCGGATGGGTGTTAGCCACATACACTGTATGTGGATGTTACTAGTTCAGCTGTCAGGGCCCCATCTTATTTCCAAGATCTTGGGTGAGGCGCCCGCTGTGTCATTTTTAGTGGCACAGTTTGAACCTGGCCCTGAAGGGGGAGGAGTGGGCACTGCTGTTCCAAGTCCCCTCACCTGAATACAGGTGTTTGGGGTTTGTTTGTTTGTTTGTTTGTTTACCAGCCTTCCCTGCTGCCAGAGAGCTGGCCGCCCCCTGCCCTGGCACAGTTGGTCTTGTCAGACTAGATAAGTTCCAGCTCTTTTAGAAGCAGTGCTATCTCCCTCTGTTCAAATTCCTCGCCCTCAGCCCAGAGCCTGGCCAGTGGGGTGAAGCTCAAAGGGTGATGGAGAAATTAGTCAGTGTTCCTTTAAGGCAGGTATCCAGGAGGGGAGCCTGGGTACCTATTGTGGACAGAGCCCTGAGCTGCTGGAGCTGCAGTCCAGGCCCAATTAGCAGGGAGCCAGGCAGGGTTTTTGTTTAGCTTAGCAACCGCCCGAGTGTCCTGGAGGCCCATGGGGGTAATTCCGCCACCGGAGGCCCCATCCGCACCTTCAGCCCGCGGTGGCACTGGCAGCTGCGCACCTGGGCGCTGGGGTCTCTGGGCACCAGGACAGAGAGGGGCAGAGGGTGCCGCTGCCCCTGCAGCCTCAGCCCCGCGAGCCATCTGGGCGTCGGGAAGGTGGTCTCCAGGGCTTCAGGGCTGAGCGCCCAGAGACGCTCCTCTGCGTGGGGAGCGCACTAGAGGTCCCTGGGGGGACCCGGGCAGACAGGAACCCCAGGATCCCCGCCCCGCCCCGCCTGGGGCTGCCTCCTCGGGATCCTTTCGAGCAGGGGTGGATGGAGCCCGGAAGCCCGGCTCCTCGTGGTCTTGAGGTTCCAGCAGCAGCGAGGACAGCATTTCCAAGTCTGAGCCATGAAGGTCGCCGTGTAGGACCTCGGGTCTCTCTTTTCCAAAATCTTCAAGACCTCGATGGCGTCCCCAGCGTCCCTGGCGGTCCCCTCCCCGGTTGTGTCCTCCAGCAAATCGGAAGGCTCTGCCATCGCAGGGCCAGTGTGCAGAGCGCTGAGCACGGCCCCCACCCTGTCCCTCCTCCCCGCCTTGGTGCCTGACTCCCCCTGCACCCAGGGAGCCCCCTGCTCTGCTCACCGCCTCCTACCCCAGGGTCTCCGTCGTCGCCAGCCGCGCGGTAGAAGCCCTAGGGACCCCCTCTTCCCTGCCCAGTAGCCCCAGAGCAGCCAAAGTCCAGTCCCTGCCCCAGGACCTGCCCCTGGCCCCGTGGGGTGGTGGCTGCAGAGCCCAGAGCTCCCCAGCGCACCTGGGGGCGGGGACGCGGTCAACCCCAGGCCCTGGCGGGGTCTGGCAGGCTCTATGTCCTTTTACATCAATAACATCCAGTTCTTCTCCCAAGAAATCAGTGTCATGGTAAAATGGAGTGCGGCAGATCACTGGACAGCAAATCACACATCAGAGACACAAAACCTTAGCTCCCATCAGTCTCCTCAGAAAAAAGTGATCTCAACCAGAAGAAAGTGTTTTCATTGTTTACCTGGGATGCTGTGCCTGCAGCTTTGTGGACTGAAACCAGAAATAGCTCTGTTCTCGTGTACTTGGTAACCCGCTTTTAGATGTTTTGAGGAGACAAAGATTTCTAATGGTCAAAAAGGGAAATATATATGAATCATGTAAAACATATTAAAGAAAAATAACATTTTCACAGCACATATACTTTTTTCATATTACTAAAAATGTATGATTATGTGTTTTGGTGACTGAATGTGTCACAGTTACAGATTTTATGACATATTTATGTTAACATGTCACCACACTCTTCCCTTCTCTCCTTCCATTCCAATCCCATTATCTAATTGTTGAGCATGTTATCTGATCCCGTGTTTTTTTTCCTCTTTCCTCTAGCAATTATTCTGTTGATATTTTGGAAGTCTCTATCATCATTGTTCACTTTACTATTTCTCAGGTCCACTTTACTATTTCTCAGATTCTATTTTCTTCTAATATAATTTTGAGGTTTC